AAGGAGCTGGCAACCTGCCTTGGATTTTTGATGTACAAAATAACCAGACTTGTCTGGTTTTGCTAGGATGCATTTGGGCTGCTTATAAGCTTTGAGGACGCGTTTGGAATATTATCTGATTACCTGCCTTCCAATCCAACCACCACATTTGTCCTCCTGGCCAGGTCCTTGCTTGGTGGGAAACAAGGGAGCTGAATGCTGTAAACACCCAACGGGGCCATTTACATCCTTCCAAACGCCTGCAGGAAATACTTAGCTTGACACAGTAGTAGAGTGGTCAACCAAGCTACCGTTTTACCTCTCCCAGTGTTTCTCAACCTTGGCAACTTTAAGACACATGGATGTCAACTCCCAGAATTCCCCAGCCAGCCATGCCAGCCAAGCTACCATTCCTCTATCCCAGTGTTTCTCAACCTCGGCAACTTTAAGACGTGTGGACTTCAACTCCCAGAATTCCCCAGCCAGCACTGCTCTACCCACTTAAACCACACTCTTGAGGGCTTGTTTCTCAACCTCGGCAACTTTAAGACGTGTGGACTTCAACTCCCAGAATTCCCCAGCCAGCACTGCTCTACCCACTTAAACCACACTCTTGAGGGTTTTAAAAAATAGAGCTCTTTTAAAGTTGTAATCTGTGGTGGCAGCAAATGTGGAAACCACACGGTTTTTCTCCATCTCCTTCCTTAAATAATGCAATTATCTCTTCCCCTAGTTGGAGAAATAGTTTCCTCTGAGATCACACAGCTTCCTGTATTTTTCTGGATCCATGCAAACATCACCAAGCCCTCTTGGATGGTTTAGAGAGGCCTGTCATCATTTTTTATTTTTTTTATATTGCTTGTTTTTGATATTGTGGTTTTATTTGATTGTTGTACACTACCCAAAATTTGATTGTTGTACACCACCCAAAATCACTTCTGGTGAGAGGGGCGGTTCTATACATTTGATAAATAAATAGATTGTCTGTATTATTAGAATGCTTGTTTTTATATTGTGGTTTTATTTGAATGTTGTACGCCACCCAGAGTCATATAAATAAATCCAGAGTAATTCAGTCTGGAGGGTTTCCAGACAGGTAGGGAGAAGATCCAGCCGGAGCCGGTGGGAAGGCAGTGATGGGGGGGGGGGGGGGGGGGGGGGGGGGGGGGGGGGGG